GCACCTGTGTGTGCTCAGATTTTCCCCTCTGGCCTTTTGGGCTGGACTCCAGCCTTTCATCTAAACTGCTTTGATTAGCGCGCTTGTCACAGTTTTATATAAAACTGTGATTTCCATTATGTGTGTTGCACTTGGGCAGCTAGCAGGCTGTGAATGTGAGGAAAAGTTGGTCAGCGAGAGACAGTTGCAGATAAAGGACTAAACCAACTTGTAGTGAGCCAAATTTCTTATTAGATAATCATGATGATGCAGAGGATGTTTGGCGTGGAGCTAAACTCATGAGTCAAAGTCTGAAACGGTAACAAAATTAAGCTTACGGTGGCTGCTGCCAAACATTTGGGTTGATTCTAGAAATTGCAGTTTCAGTTGTTGCCCTTATGAATTAAATGTCAACAAATCCCATGAAAGGACAAAAAACAACCGTGTGTTTGTCAAAGTGTAATACTTTCCGTACACTGTCTGTGACTCTTAGACGTAAGCCAAAGCACTTTATTTTGAAATGCTACACAATGTCTGGGTATAGTAGATTTCAGCAAATTTCACTTTTTGCATTTGTTTGGCACTTTTTTCAGCTGTGGACACATTTGTTGCATAAGGAAGCATTTTACTGCCAAAGGATGATACACGACGACTTAGAATAAACTACTGCGTCTGTGTTCATGGTGCTAAAGGAACATGTGACTGTGTAATGCTGTGGCTCAATGATGTGTTTTTAATAGTCTTCTGACAACAATGGAGCTCTATGGCACAGAAGAATAAATATATCAGGCTTGTGCTAAAAGTCATTATACCCCCAGGAAAACTTTTTTTCTCTATATGGGCAATACTTGTTTCTAAGATCAATTCATTGTTTGTTTTAGCTTCGTGGGCTTTGCTGACAATTTCAAATCAGTCCATTAAGTCGCTTCATATTACAGTATTATACATGCTCACTTTGTTGGATGCATGACTTTCCATAACACAATATTCCAAAACATGCACAGAGGAATACTTGGACACTAGTGATGTCTTAAAATAGCTGTGATTAAAAGTATGACAACATTTCAGTTTATTGCAAGTATGTTTTGGCATTGTTCACATACATTCTTGATTACATGTTGCATTCAGTTCATGTTACATGAAGCAGAAGAGTCACTTCATAGTTGCTAAGTGTTCCTGGTCATTTTTAGTTTGTAGTCAACCTAAGAAATTCTCACGATATCTTGGCTGTTTTTCACTCAAGTTGTGGACACTTATTAGCGTATATTTGTGTTTGCCTGGTGTAAATTCATAGTTATGCCTGTCATTGAATTGACTTTACATGCAATCAAACCATGGGAAGACTTTGCTTTGCACTTGGTCTGAACAAACCATTTCACTGTAGACATAAGTGGGTTTTTTAAACCATTTTTGTAGTTGCTATTTCTGTTTAATGAAGTGTTCGACTCTCGCAAGCTTGTGAAAAGTTCTTGTGTATCCTACCTCTAAAGATTTCAAGGATGCTGTGAGTGTTATTTGTTTTCAAGTCAGCTGCTTATTTATACAGTATATTACACAAAATGTTCATCTCATCCTTTGAGTCAGGAAACAAACTTCTATCTCAACCATTGGCATTCAACTCCATTAGAGAGTGTTTACCCTGTTTGTTGTTGGACAGCATCGCTCCCAGCATGTACATTGAAATACTGTGGTGATATTTAATCAGCAGTGCAGGGCTAAAAAACACTGGTTTTATCCATTACCTGATCAGACCCATACACCCTCAAGGACAGTTTGAGTATATGAGCTTTAAAGAACAAACCACAAATAAAACTCTTTGACATGTGAGCTCTCTTACTCCTCAGGCTCTGTCGGACTCCTTCGTGTCTGCTCTCCTAAAGGAATGTGATGACTCTGGTATCTTTTAAAAGTGGCTGTGACTGTCTCAAATGAGAGATTATTATTTTAGCACCATTAACTGTTGTTTTCCTCTTTGCTCAAACATTACCTCTGGTGACTTTTAAATATTCCCTTTTCTACTTGTTTCCGCTCCAATTCTGTCAGTTCTATAAACTTTTATAAAACAAATGTTACGACATCTGGTTGTGTGTGTTTCTTATTTATAGTGTCATCAGTGTTTGTGCACGAGCTCAGGCTCTTGATGCTGAGGTTCAGTAATTATGATTAATTTAATCTCTAATATGAAACTAAACTAAAGAAGTACAATTTGTCTTTTTGTATAAACATCGTGGATTTAGGGAAGAAATACTGTTTCGACTGGGGTCAGTCAATATTAAATAAGGAACCAAACAGCTTATAAATGATCCCACTTTGGGAACACACACGCCTTATGCATGTTACAATTTTGGAAGCAAACTCTTTGCTGTATGGTTGATTAATATTACTTATTCTGACAGCTGTTTTTGGCCATGAACTTCGGAGTTAATAAATTAATATTTGTAATTATGAAACACTGTTTTTCCAGCTTGATTTGAGGCAACATTTGAGAGCTGCTTTCAGTTCCCAAATCTCTCATAAAGTGAAACCAAACTTAATGTAGACTGAACCCCCACCACTCTCAGTATATCTCTCACTGTGTCAGCAGTACTGTACATGTCTGCAGTCACTTGGGTGATTTCATGGATCTTAACCGAACACAAAGACTCCATTATGGCTCCGCTCACTGAAATAAACTCACTTTCTCTCCTTCCTCTTCATCGTCTTCTTCTTCCTGCTCCCACTCTCTTTCTCTCCTCCTCCTCACATTCACACTTTCACCCACATCTCTGTTATCGAATATAAAGCCTCATTTTTCCTGACATTACCTCACTTTCATGTTGGAGTTGGGAATGAAGAGAGGGAAAAGAATAGAAGAGGGGGGAAAGAGAAGGGACAGGGGACAGGGAATAGATGTAGGACGGTGGTGGTGGTATGTTTGTGTGTGTGTATGTATGTCTTATGTGTGTGTGTGAGATCATTAGCCTGGTAATTAGGCCCTGACACATTTTGTCTCTCCCCTTGCTCGCCCTTTGAAGTTCCCTCATCCAGACTACCCACAATGCACTAGGGAAGCATCCAGGAGGGTACAGACGATTGATGGTGTATGGGGGGGGTTGTCAGGAATGTGGGTCAAAATGTGAATGTAAGAGAATTTCTAGAAATGCTGATGATAAGAAGAGAGAGAGAGAGAATTGGGGTTCAGTTCTCTCTGTATGTCTCTCTGTTGTCTTTTCATGTTATTCCCTGCTCATGCACATCATTCATATGTGCCAGATGCTGTGCTCTCAACACACACACACACGCACACACACACACACACACACACACACACACACACACACACACACACACACACACACACGAGCCTCTTTGTTTTGAGATAAAACCCAGCTCTGTTACACTCCTCTGTAAGGGAGACAAAGGGGGCTTATCTCACATATAGTGTGTGTCTGTGTGTGTGTGTGTGGGGGGGGGACAGAAAGTGTGATTGTGTTTGTGAGAGTGTTTTCCAATGAAGTCATTATACATTTGTATTGTATTTTTTTTTCATGAGCCTGATTTTGTGCCTCATTAGATTAAAATTGGTCTTTATATTTTTCATCATAGCACTTTCTGATTGCAATATTACAAGCAGTGGAAAGAGAATGAGAATTTGCACCTTGAGTCAAAGTGCAATCACTTCTCTTATTATCACTTTGCTGATATAACAATATTTATGGTGAGAAGATAAAAATGTATACATCTTTCAATTCACTATTTTACGCTGAGGTAGCTGCTTTTACTGTCACTGGTGCTATTGTGTCACAGTGATAAATTGATGAACTGGACTGCTTCATGTCAATTTAGGACTTAACTGACTTGGCTTCACTTACGCCAATGAGATGAAGTGACCTTTCATGAAACTGTAATTTATTATTAATGTTTTTAAAATTAATAATACCAAATAACTTGTTCTGTTTGTAATACATTTATTTTGTTGTATTTACAAAATCCTACAGAGGTCATGTAAAGAACCCTGTGAAACATAAAACATAACATTGCAGGTTAATTAGACCAACTGCAGATCTCACGCATCTGCACACACACACACACACACACACACACACACACACACACACACACAAACCTAGCAGTTTGTAGATTCCTTAAATGTGTGTTTTTTTACTGTATAGAACATATTGTACAGGTTGTGTTAGTGTTTGATTGCGGTCACACCCCCCTGACACTGATAGATGAAGTGATTCTCTCTTCACATTTCCATGAATGACAAATTGCTGTGTGTGTGTCTGTGTCTGTGTGTCTGTGTGTGTTTGAGCAGACAGGCAGATGGTGTCTCATGAGTATAAGCAGTGCTAACGACCTTGAAAGAAAGAAGGAAAGAGAGGAAGGGAGAAAGAAAGAGATGGAGAGAGACAGGGAGCGATGGTGACGGCAGGGGTCAGCATGTTTTGCGTTGTGGGTCAGGAGGTACGGGCGGGGCATTTCTGCTGCTGCTTCCTCAATGCATTTCCTCCACTTGCACACACACATGCATACAGTATTTGTACATACACACTTGCATGGGGCGTTAACCGAGCAACACAATAAGCAGGGACTGGCCCGAGGCAGATTGAGCAAGGTGTTTCCTGTGACCTGGACGGCTGCTGCGTCGACACAAACACTCGTCTGGAACGATGCTCTGATGTGGTTGCAGCAGTGCTTGTGTGTGTGGGTTTTCTGTTGACTGATTTGACTCTCTCCTCAACCAATTAGACGTCATTAATCTCTCTCTGTATAAACGTGTGAGCGTAAGAGAAAACAGCTGTATTTAAGTCTGTGATATTCATCCTTTATTTATGCTGTTGTCATGGTTTATTCATGTGCTGCTCTGGCATTTGCAGAGTGAATGAATATTGGATTATAAGTGTTTTTATTTTATTCATGAGCTGAGAGATATTTTCGCCTGTATGGAATCCTCAGTGCTGTACACACACACGCACAGAGACACAAAATAACAAAACATCCCTGTTAATGTTGTGTGTGTTTGTCTTTTTGTCGTACAGGCTGCACACTGCCCCGCTATGGAGAAGATGAAGAGGATCAAGAAGCGCTTGTCGTTAACGCTCCGCTCCAGTCACACCATTGACGAGTCCCTTTCTGAACTGGCCGAGCAGATGACCATTGAGGACAGTGGCACCAAGGACAATGGTCAGTGTTTGTGTTTGTAAGACATAAGAGAATCCTAGAATGTTAAATTTCTGGTGTCCAGTACTTTCTTTTTTTAGCTTTTTTTTTATTAAAGTAACACTAACCGGCAGCTCAGTTCCAGATTCTTTACATTTCCTGTAACTGCAAGATTTAAGGAACTGTGTTTGTAATAACAACACCGCCATAATATACTGTATACTGTCAGCATCTTCTTGCAGCAGGAATCCCAACAATGTGTGGATGCACGGAGTCGTAAAAAATGTCACTAAAATTAGTTCAAAAGCTTACACATAATACTTGTTTTTCTTAATTATGTAAATGTCAAAGACAGAGGGAGAGTTTCAGTTTCTTGGCATCTCTATGGGAAATTTAAATTATGAAGCACTGATGATGATAAACAGAGAGTTGAGCATCTAACAGCTGTAATGTACTTCCAGTGTGTAGCTCTCTGTGTCGTTATATAATAGGAGTAAGAGCGAGAGAGAGAGCGAGCTTCATAACACTCACACAAATTAGATAGGAAAGAGAGAGAGGGGCAAACACACTTTCTTCAACTTCTCTCTGTTATGCAATGCCGAGCGCCAGTGTGCCTCCAACAAGCTGCTGCTGTGACGGACACGTGTGGTTGACACATGTGATTGACAGCTGCCAGGATAAATTCACACACTCGTCCATCTGTTGCACACTTTTCCCCTTTTTAGATATTTGCCTTTGGCTCCACATCCACCAAGACTCAACAAAAGCTACAGGCCTCAGGAACAGAGGCCACGGTCGTCTTTGTCATCTGAAACAGTAGTTCCACATTTTTAGGTTTATTTTTTTACCTTAGGATAGAGCCATGCTAGCTGTTGGTGCAGTTAATTTCTCATTAAACTCTCAGCAACAAAAGCCAATGAGTATTGCCCATTATATCAAACTGATTCTTTAAATGCTTTATCATAGACCAAAAAAGTGGCTGCATGTTTCACTGATCACAGTCGAGCCCATTATTTTTTGAAATAACATTTTTTTATCAATTAACTTATAACTCCTAAATTGGAATATTGTCAAATTTTCAGTTGGAGAAAATGTTTTCACCCACTTAGCTCTGACATTTTTACCTTCCTGTTTCTATCATGACATATCTGACAAGCACATGAAGGCAGCATAATGTACATTAAATTAGTGATGTTGACACCACAGTCTTTCAGCTCAGAGTTTAAAAGGTTGATGAACAAAATAAGGTTGGCAGGGGAAGACAAATTAACCCATGCAATCTGACAGACTTGCGGCCTGCACCTTCGGGTGTTGACATTGCTCTGCCCACAGGGAGAACACTGAGTCTCAATATTTTCTACTGACAAATTCATGGGCCTCCATTACTTATAGAAGCCCATTAATGAACCCGTATGTGGCTTATCTGTAGATTCAAATAATTGTCACTTCACAATCGATTATACCATAATACAAACTATTTTAATATACCAGGAATGGTAGAATTGCATTATGTTCTACTCATATTCCGTTAGTTCAACAAACACAAGTTAATGGAACATTAAATAACTTGAAATCCTGTTATTAATACACATTTCTCAGTAATTGAGCCTGAGGGTTGGTTGTTTCTTGAAACTTCAGTACTGTGACTTAAATGTCAAATAAAGTTGTGTTGGTTTAAACAAAGCTCGACCACACAGCTTGTGTTTCAAGTGAAGAACACACTGAGCTGATGTTTAATGTTGCGCTGTGTTCGTACCTCCTGTGGCTTCTTGAATATTTGTGATACAGCTGTAGAGCATCTGATTTTCAGACGACCAGAAATGATGGCAGTTGTTGTGTTTCAGAGCCCTTCATGAGGAACGGCCGCCCCCCCACCTCCCACAGCATGCACTCCTTCCTGCACCAGTACACCGGCTCCTTCAAGAAGCCCCCGCTCCGCCGGCCACACAGCGTCATCGGTGGCACCCTGGGATCCTTCATGGCTATTCCACGCAACGGCAGTCGTCTGGGTGAGATACATGCATGTGTTCACGCAGTCACACACACACACACACAGCACAAACACAAATGGAAGGAAGTGAGTAGAGGGAGAGCAGATGGCATCCGGGAAAAAACAGGAAACGTGTCACGGTCCTGAGATTTCCGTCCTCCTTATATTCGAAAACACGCTCTGGGCCAGTGACTGGCCGTCCTTCCCGTGAGGCAGCTTCTCGCTCTTCGCCCTCAGCAGGGCTGTTTTTACCCGAGTGACAGCTGGATGGGAGATTCAGTCAAACATGACACAGTGTCCTGTGAGAACTGATTCATCACAGTCAATCCGCAGCAACGAATCTCATCCTCAGGGTTGGAACGGAAGTGATGCTGATGATTCAAAGTAGCAGCACATTCAAATCTGGGGGTCGGGACAACCCACAGGGTGACGAGATGATTCATGGGAACAATATGTGGTTATCAAGATCAACCAGCCTCCAGGCTTTTTGAATATTTAGTTAAGAAGAGCCGGATAGATTTTGTAGGATCTGAACCGATGAGGTCTGTAGTGCACTGTTACAGTTAAGGTTCAAACATTTTGTTACTCCAGACTTCACCTCACTGGATCCTGTCTCATATACCTTCTGTTTACACCTCACACAATTCTGCCCAACATTCATGTTCACAACATGATAACCCCAATACCGCACATTTCCTGTTTGAGTATCACGAGGCTTCTCTTTGCTGTTGTGGAGGTCATGAGTCTGAAAATATCGTAAATGAACATGCACATTATTGCTGCAAGTGCTATTTGAGTTTCACTTTTTCATAGCCAGGCTACAGGCTAAAATTGTGTCCATCAGTTTTTCCCCAAGTTTTGTTCAGATCGAAATATCTCAGCAGGTATTGCAGTGTCTGCAATAAAATCTTCAACAGGATTTTCAAGGTCCTCAGAGCATGAGTTTTACTGAGTTTGGTGATCCTCTGAATTTTCCTCTTGCTTTCATGGGTTTCTGTTTTAAATTTGTACTCTTTGTTCTTAAGCTTGAAAAGAGCTATATAATTAAAATGTATTATAATATTATTTAATTCATTCATTTCATGTTTCTGTTATTGCTCATTATATAAATACTGTACGTGGAATCTGATATGTGCTTCTCTAAGCTATTTTTTATGATACCCTTGAGGGTTGATAAGCCTCACACTGGACCCTGGCCTAGATTGAGGGACATGGATCTAAAAACAGGACATTTAAGTAGGACATTGATGTAACACATATTGTTGCTTCACTTTGTGTGCTTATTATCAAAGCTGCTAAAAATGGTAGCGATCATTAAGGCTCAGAAAGTTCAATTACTAATTTTAAGGAAAGGATGTGTGGAGATGATCAGGAAAGAAAGATAAAAAATGGATTGAGAATGAAATTCCATAAGAGAGGTGCAATGGGAAGTAAAATTGAAAAGAGATAAGAATCAGCTTGTCTGTTTTTTTTGGAGTGAGGGACACACGTATGACCGTTTGAAAGTGAATGGATAATGAATAGGGAGAGAAAGTGTTTCGGGGGTGGGTGGACATTTTTTGAAGAGGATGTGGCCAAATGGAAAATAATAGGCGATAATGGAGAGGTACGGCATGTGAACGGAAAAAGAAAGTAGGCCAGAGAAGACCATTTTAAGAAGCAGCACACAGGTAGAAGGTAGTGGAGGAATGTGTTGAAGCAATAGAGAGGGAGTCAGATGGAGCGGTGCCTATGAAAACTACACGAAAGACAAAACAAAACCTGGGAAAATTAGGACCGTGTAGAGTGAAGGCAGTGGTGGGAAAAAAATTTGGTGAGAAAAGAATTATGTAAGTGAGAAAAGAGTGACAGAAAAAGAGGGAAGAGAAGTTGCTGGGTGTTTTCAAAGCGTAGACAAGAGAAAGAAACTGAAGCAAGTGTTGCAGTTACAGGGAAGAACTTTCTGAAAGCAGTCAGAGTGAAGTGTTACTCTCCTCAGGATGTGTTTCAAAGCATCTGTAGAATAAGCTCTCCATTTTTATGATGGAAATGCCTGTATAGATGAAAACGTTGGTATTTATAATTCAACACACAGATTCATCTAACACTTTTAAAGGTTAAGTGTGTGAGATTTGAAACAAAAATAATGCAGACAACAGCTATCTTCTATATAAAGATACAGTGGAACAATGGCGTCATAAGCAGTAAATGAAGACCCCCTCCCTCTGTGTGTGTCGTGATCCGAGCTTCACTGATCTTTGTTTTGGTAGCTGGTCCAGGTGCACATTCATTTAAGAGCGTGTGACATGTCTGCAGATCTCCCTCTCTCCACAATTATAAAAAGAGATGGCCCCATCTCTCATTGGCAGCGTACGTGTTCATTTTCACCCCTTTCCCACACTGTCATATCTTTTAGAGCTTACAAACACTGTACACTCAGCTTTCACCTGCCCACCCCGATGCACAGCTATGCCATCTAACTGCTAGTGCATGAGCTGTGCATTTAGAAACACACATTTAACCTGGTAGTGCAGGCACCTCGGATTCAGAGGCGTGAGTCCTCCTGCAACGGCCGCTGGTTTGATTCCAACCCGGGCCCTTTGTTGCGTGTCCTCCAGTTCTCTCTCTCTCTCCCCCCATTTCTTGCTTGATAATGCTAAAAAAATATCTGAAACACACAGTTTGCTGGAGGTTTTTTGTCTCCTCTGTAGTTCTGTGTGTGTGTTGTGTGTGTTGTGTGTGTTGTGTGTTCAGGGACTGTACACCTTGCTCCTGAAAACACAAAGGTTTCTGTGTCTGCGACATCACAAAGTAGGCTGTGGTAGTTGATGTGTTGCAGCACTTGGATGAAAGTCACGGTTCATTTTATTAGTAGCATCTGTACTTTTCATACTGTGACAGGTCAGAATGTCTGCTGTGTTAAAACCTTGTTGCAGTTCATAGAATAGAGCTTAAACACAGAACCACTTCAGAGTAATTCAGAAATTCAAATTAGATTTTTAACCACACTTGTGACATTGCTTTATAAATAGCTTGGTCAGTCTGGTCGTCCAGTATTTTGGCCTAGAGTGTACCTCAATAAAATGCTGATGGATTTGCCATGACGTTTACTCCCCCCACCCTCGAGGTCCCCGCTGGACGAATCGTACAGATTTTGAATGTGACACCCTGATTTTTCCTCAACTTCATTAGGTCAAAATGTATATTTGTTCAATTCCGCTGAAGGTCTTTATGTAGCCTCATAGCTTGCATGGCTTTCTTTATCTTCGTCATGTGGCAACCCATTCAGCATATGGAAATTATACCTCGTAAAGTGGGAATCAAGAAAGCAGTCGCATGAGACTCGAAAGTGCCTCTCCAGATTAAAATCGTTTTGAAGCAAATTTCCAAAGAAACACTGTATCTTTAAATGAATTAAAATTAATGCAATACCTTCCTTATTAACTCATTATTAATGCAGATGAAATACAATTGAATGTCATTAACAGATCCTCAGGTTCTCTTGTCACTGAGCCAGCTGCTCAGTGATGCAGCACCGGAGAATCAAGTGCAAATAGAGCCGCTAATGGTGTAATTTCCCTCTGAAATGTGTTCAGGCCTGATAGTTGACAATCTATCAATTATGTATACATGGCTGGCAGTGAAGTTGGTGTTTGTGTGCGTGTAATTTAGGCAATAGTTTATCCCAAATTACATCTGTGTTTGTTGTATGCATATAAATGAGTGTGTGTGCATGTGCAGATATTGTGTGTAGGCACAGTTGATAAATGAGGCCCCCAGGAGAGGAAACAGGAGATGGATGAAAGTAGATGGCTGCAGAGACAAAGGCTTGAAAAACAGATGAAGAAGTGAGGAAGATGTCTGAGAATAGATGGACTGAGGAGAGATGAAGCACAGTGAGAGGATAAGAAAGAAGTCATCTATCTCCCTCTCATATGGAAACATTGCTTCCATTTCTTGTTTGTCCCTCTTCTTCCTTTTTTAAGCACCCTTACCTTCTCTGTCTCCCTCTTTCTCTTCCCTTTCAACAAACATGTCTCTGATGCACTCTCTCCCCTCCCTCCCTGCAAGTTCTTTGAAAACCCTCAAATTTTATATTTTATATTCCACTTAAAAACCCTGCTGTAGTATGTCGAGCTCTACCCGTGTGCCAGAAACTGAAGTTCAGCCAGAGAAGCGACAGAGAAACCTCACACCAAATGATCTGTGGAAAAAGCAGAGTGACATGCAAAGTGCAGTAGAACGAAACAGCCCCAGAGGAAAATCCTGAAAACATTTTTGTTTCTAAAAGCGGATCAGCATTTCCTATAATCTGGGGGGAGACTCGGTTTTCACCAGATTACCACAGACAGGTTCACATTCCGTGGCAAAGTGTGCCTTTGGTTTGTGGCTGCACCACAGAGTAATGAATTAGCATTTCATGAAGTAAGGTTTGTCAATAAGGTGCATGAATAGAGAAGGAGAGCTTTGTTTGGGTGTAAACCGGCATCATTTTCTTTTTTACATCTAAACTAACTAAGTGTAGATAATCATCTGTGGTGAGATATTAGAGAATTAATCAGGATAATCATGTTATGAAATAATTGTACACAGTAAATCTCCATCAACAGAAAGCTGACAGAGATTTCTTTCTCCTCTCATTCCTCCACTCTGTGCCTCCGCATCTGATGACAGACTGCATGGTTGAAAGCGCTGACACAATGATGACAGAGAACTGCTCAGCCGTGGCTACTCATTAACTGTGTGTATGTGTGTGTGTGTGGGGAGGAGAAGGTGGGCATGTGGTTTGTACATCAGTGTATTCACCCCTGCTGTGCTATGGCAGTAGTGGTAGTTTTACAGCCACGGAGGAGGTGGTGCAGGTTTGGGTGTTTAATCTTTGGCCTCTGGGGTAACAAGGGTCTGAGAGGTGAGAGAGATAGAATGAGAGAGCAGGATCTGTGGAAATAAAGCTGCATATTTCAACTTGTTCAAAGCATTTTCACAGGTTGATATGCAGTTTGAATAAAAGAGATTATATTTATATACAGTTACACAATTTTAGAGGTTTGAATCTAAGTGCCTGTCTGTTCAGTTTGGGTTTTCTCCCCGTGTCTGTGTGAGTTTTCTTCCGGACTTCCTCCCACAGTCCATTGGGATTAGGGTTAGGTTAGCCGTGGATGTGAGTGTGAATGGTTGTTTGTCTCTGAATGTTGCTCCCTGTGATGCACTGGCAACATGTCCAGTGTGCTCCACCTCCTGCCCAATGTCACCTGGGATTGTCTCGAGCCCCTCTGCAACCCTCACAGGATGAGGGCTATAGAAACTGGATGGATACAACTTCTAATAGTACTTAAATAACACATTACCACTACCTCCAACACTTGCACCTTCTACTAATAATAAAGCAAGTGAGAAGTTTTTATACTTTTTTGTCTTGGCCTGGTTGGATTCCTCACATTCATTCTCCTCCATGTTTATTTGTGTGGTCTTCTTCCATACTCCCTGCCTTTGTTGTCTTTATTGCCAGAAAGTGTGAAACAGTAGAGAATAATGCTAAATTATTTTTGCTATCGTCACATGTTGTATTCAGTTTTATTACAAAGCCTTAGATTCAAGTTGACTTTTATTTAAATTAAATCACGAAGAGGATGAACTGCCCCTTTCTTACTTTTTTCTCATTTTACTCATTGTGCAAATGAAAAATGCAAGTTAAACTTTACCTAAAGACACAAAGCTCATCTGCGATATTAAGCGACTGGTAGAGCAGGTCGTCCACTAATGGGAAGGTTGGCAGTTTGATCCCTGTCTCCTCCAGTCTGCATGTAAAAGTGTCCTTGGGAAAGACACTGAAGCCTGAACTGTGCCATCAGTTTGTAAATGTATGAGTGATGGAGAAGCTCTACATATAGAAGCAGTATGATACTTGTAAATGATAAATAAACTTTTTCTCTTGTCAGATATTGTACATGAGAACTTGAAGATGGGATCAGACGGGGAGAGCGACCAGGCGTCTGGAACGTCGTCAGATGAGGTTCAGTCTCCGACCGGCGTCTGTCTGAGAAACCGAGTCCACCGGCGGATTTCCATGGAGGTGAGACGCTCACACGCACAAATGTACACATACACAAGCACACACGCACATATGCACTCACACATACACAGACACACACACACACACTGCACAGTAATTGTTTAAAAATGGCTGACAGCGCACATATGCATTTCACCCTTTACCCCCCCTCCTCTCCTTCTGCTGTGCTCTTCAACACCACCCTCCTCTTCTCCCCCACGCTCTCTTGGGAGATCCAAGTCGGGAGGGGGCTGGGGAGGGGATCGTTCATCCCCTTATGTGCTCTCAGTGTCTGGGCATCATGATACTGATAGCAGTCCTGCTCCCTGAGGAGCGCAGCAGCGTCTGGTAAAGACATGCAGCGTGATCGTCTGTGCTGCGACCACATTGGTTTCCTACGTGTTGGCTGTGTCAGCACAGCACAGTGCATTCTGGGACGTTAATCTGCTTTGTTCCTCTTTTAAGGACATATACAATATACATACCATATTTTAAATCTTGTTACCATTTAAACATCTTTTTTAAACAGGTCCTACTTAAATACAATTTCAAATGAAACTAGAAATTATCTTTTATTTTTCTAGAGCACTGCCATCTTAAAATGTAGAACTCCATCATTTTCAGTTAGTAATTCTTTTTTTATTTTTTATGTTTTAATTAATTTCTAGCTGCATGCATTTCTTTTCTTAACAAAAGATTCTCAGAACAGGCTTTAAAATGCTTACTTAGACAAAGACCATAAATTGGCTCTGATGGCCCTCAGGGTGAATTCAACACAGTCACTTACACAAGCTCAGCAAATAAAAAATGAACAGGATGAGATGAGGTTGCTTGGTTATCATTCTTTTTGTCTGCTAGTTTCTACTTAAACTATGTTTTTGTAGGAATCTTAAATGTTTTCTTCTCCAGACCAACATTAACTTTTCAGAACAGTTTTATTGTTTGGTGCCAGTGGAGGACTCCTGCCCTCTGCTGGCAGAGGAATGTACTTGATCTTAGAGTGAGGTCTCAGACACACACACACACACACACACACACACACACACACACACACACACACAATATTATGCTGACCTATTTATCGTAAAGATCAGTTGTAGGTGCATAAAACAAGTGCAACTCAAGGATGTGGTAACCAGTTGACCTGGTACACACACACACACACACACACACACACACACACACACAGCTCTATTACATGATCACCACTCCACGGCACTTCTTGGTTTCTTTTGATGCAGCTGGAGGTTTGAATAAAGCTATATTGAATCAGGAAGGAGGTCAAGGCCACAGTGTACTCTCACTGTCCAACCCGTGTTAAAAGATGAGCAGCCTTTCAGTTTTTTGGCTCTGACTCCGCCCTCTACATCTGTCCTCTCAAAGTCTCCAATGAATGCAATTAAATGGGCATCTTGCTGAAGAGTCCTTGAGAAAGATACTGAAACCCAAATGACGGCTGTGCTGACAGTGTGCGTGACTGTGACTCTCATTGTGAATTGCTTTGAGTGGTTGAACAAGAGCACTAATACCAATATTTTTTTACACTTCCAAGAGCCAATCAACAAAAAGAATACAAATCACAAACACTGATGCATTCACTCACACTTATATTGTATGATTGTTTAGTTCTCTTAGGGCGACCAGCGGGACTATTTTATAAATAAGAGCTGATCATGTCACAGGGTCCATCAGATTTATTACTGAAGTCTTGGAAGGCTGATACATCACTTTGTTTATTTGTTCTTTTGTATTCTTATTTGAAGTATATTTTGTAAATTTAAATGTAATCATCAAATCAAATATATATAGGAAAAGGAAATAAAACAGTTTTGGCTGCAAGAAATGAACATTCTTTGATTAAGTGATTAGTTGAAGATGTTGCACTTAACAGTGAACACATTTGTTTAATTAAATGTGACTTGCAGTTTAATTTCTGTCAATTGACTAATTAAAAAAAAAATTTCAAGACTATATTGAAGTGTGTACACATCTTTTCAACCACAGTGAAAAGTTCTGTGCACAGTGCATGAACAAAATAAAAATAGATGAACTGCAGAGAGGACGGACCAAATCTGTTGGAGACTGACACTAAAGAGAAAAAAAAGCAGCACTGAGTCGTATTATGTAATATTTTTACTCGTCCTCCAGACAGCGATATGCTCAGCATAATCACAGATTTCATGTGAACTCTCAGTTGTCATAATACCGACATCATTTCCGAGCAGCTTTGTGATAAAGAACTAAAGTAATGAAAAAAAAGGAGATGATTAAAAAACTGGTGTCATTTGCTCTCACTTTATTTTTACTCCACATCACATCTTTCAGCGTTATACAGCTTCATGTCAGATGTGAAGTTTTTATGATCCTAGAATAGATGCTATGTGCCGTCCACAACAATAAGATGTGAGCCCGGTAATGTTCACAGTGACAGACTGCTGTGTGAGCTCAGACTAGAATATTGTACAACTTTATCTAATTCTCACGTGGTTTACGGCGTGTGTGTTTTTTACACTCACAATCTGATTTGCATTTATAAAAGTTTTGCTGTCCAGCTGCATTCACGCGTCCAAACACCATCTCTTACTTGTACCCCTCATGAGATGGTGATCGACCTGATCTGTCTTCTCTCTGTGGGAGTAGCAAGAGAAGAAAACAAGTTATTTTAGACTGTGTGTGTGTGTGTTTGTGTGTGTGTGTGTGTGTTTCTATGTGTGGGTAGACTGTTCCCCACATCACGTTGTGCTGCTTGCTACTGAAACAGGCGATACATATATATAGCAGCAGTGCTTTCTTATGGTGTGATGTGAGCAGATTGCCGAACAGCAACAGTGTGACTCACAATCATAAGCTCATGATGTTAACTATCAAAGTATATAAGTATGAGTGGCAAGAATTTATAATCTTGCTCCAAAGACTTTAAGCTCAAAATACACAGTTTCTTTTCCACAAGCCCCAAACTTCTTAACCAAATAAACTCGACATCCACCACAGGAATGTGAAATTAAAAGCTGGCCTCAATCCTAAACTGTGTTTTTTATGTGTTTGTGTTGCAGGACCTCAACAAGCGTCTGTCGCTGCCAGCTGACATCCGAATTCCCGACGGTTACCTGGAGAAGCTGCAGCTCAGCAGTCCGCCCTTCGACCAGCCGCTCAGCCGACGCTCCCGCCGGGCTTCTCTGGTCAGTGCATGTGTGCGTCCGTCTGTGTGCGCCACCTTTATTGCTTTGTGTTGCTCGCAGACTCCTGCCTGTGCTGGTTACCATGGCAACAGGCCCAGTGTAAGCTGAGGAAGGTTTCATGTGGAGTCACAAGCGATCACCTCCCGCCTTTAGCCCATCAAATTAGATTACATTGCTCAACTGTGGTGTGATCATGCAGCTTATTTGCAGATAAGGGGACATGGTTTATACACATGAGGACCAACAATGTCTGATTGTTTTCTAAAGGAACTACTGATCATTTATTTAGCTTTTCTGTCTCCACCTCCAGATATTTCCTGCAGCTATCATAGAGATACTGGGGGGGAATTCAGACATTGCTCATAAGAACCATGTTGAAAGGACATTCTGTAAACCTCTGATCTAACACGTTGACTGCTCTTATCATGTTTGGCGTCAGTGTCTTTGAAACAAATATCTTCATGCTGCATCAGTGTCCAAAACATGAAAAAGAAATTCATCACATTAGAGGCACAGACAACAACATGATAAAAAAACTGATCGAGATGAAACACTGCTGCATTGTTTTGAACTTTGAAGAGTTATCTTCACTTCACTGAATTAACAAATGATATGTAAGTCTGTAGAAACAAGTTTGACTGTTGTTGCAAGAGCAGTAAAACCACACATATTCCCTAAACCAAAACGAGTTATAGCTTTACAGACATGTCTGATTCCTGATCAATAATGTAATTTATGTTTAATCTTGAGTTTTTTCTGCCTTTCCCTCAGTCGGAGATTGGTTTTGGGAAGTTGGAGACGTACATAAAGCTGGACAAGCTGGGAGAGGTGAGGAGGGGCTGAAAATCCACACATGCCAATAAAATAAAAGAGGTATGCTTTGTAACTCTCTTTAAGTCGGTAATGTTGAGCCAGTGTTGTGTTTTGTTTTTAGGGAACCTACGCCACAGTATTCAAAGGACGCAGTAAGCTTACGGACAACCTGGTGGCGCTGAAGGAGATCAGGTTGGAGCACGAGGAGGGAGCACCATGCACTGCCATCAGAGAAGGTAACTCTACATTTTACACCTTTTACCATCAACATCTCAGCTTCATCAGCTCCATGTTTTTTTATGGGAGGTCTTGTCATATTGGTGGTTGATTTTCTTATAATGATCACAGACTGGAGACTGGAAGGTATCTAACATCATTTCTGAATTAACAGTCAAAAGGACCAGTTCATCCAAATCACAGAAAAACATAATTCATTCATTTGAAACTAACATGCCTTTTAACACAACAGTATTTTGAAAACATTTGTCAATTAGATTTTTCTTTTTATTGTAAGTTGTGGGGTTTGTCATTAAAAGTGTTTTTCTCTGTTTCTGTCTTTGTAGTTTCATTACTGAAGGACCTCAAACACGCCAACATCGTGACGCTACACGACATCGTTCACACTGACAAGAGCCTCACGCTCGTCTTCGAGTACCTGGTGAGGCTCTTTGTTCTCAGGGCATGATGGGCGTCATGAACACACATCGGTTGATATTATTTATGACTTAAAGGACAATTAATTACAATCTAATTAGAACGACAGGTTGCCATCGTTATTTTATGCATTGAGGGTTAATAGGAGAGCAAATATGTACAGTGATATAAGATATAAATGAAAGAAAGGCAGTGAAGGAAGAGAGCAGAAATATTAACCTAAAATCTACAGGATGTGTAAAACAGAAGAGTTAGAAAAGATGAGGAGAAATCTATTTTGAAAAAAAAAGGAAAGAACAGTGAAACTTTAAAAGAAGGTGGAAGTGTTGTCCTGATGTTTTTGTATCTTCTGTCTGTCTAATACCTTGTTTCCTTGTAGGATAAGGATCTGAAACAGTACATGGATGACTGTGGAAACATAATGAGCATGCACAATGTGAAGGTGAGGAGAACCCTCCAACTATTTCCAACTGTTTCATTTCTCTCCCTGTGGAAACATTTGACTCTGAATGCTTTCCCCTCCTTATTCTACATTTGTTCAATATGTGAATGTAATGAGACTTCACACGCATGATTGCTTGTAGTTTTCGCCTCAGATGATAAAATGTTTGAATGAAAATAATAGAAATGGTTCGTGCAAACCCCGCCTATTAACCAATCACTGTCAAGCATGATGACAACTGGACATACGTATGTCATAGTCTTACGTCTGCTCCCTAAATTGCAAAGTGAAACCAAAATCTAACCAGATCAAATGCAAACAATGTAACAAAAGACATGAACCTTTGTTCGGATTTTCAAATGTAAAAAATGCTTTTGATATGTGATGTAAAATTCAAAAGTCTTTTGCACATTCTGTATCTGTTTGCATTTGCATCCCATCTGAAGAAGTGAGACCCCTGTGATAAAGGAATGTGTATGGAAGGTTTTGCACATGATAATGCTTATTTATATTTATTTTCCTCGTCTTTCCAGATCTTCCTGTTTCAGATATTGCGAGGGCTGTCATACTGTCACAAGAGGAAAGTTCTCCACAGGGACCTGAAGCCTCAGAACCTCCTCATCAATGAAAAAGGAGAACTCAAACTGGCTGATTTTGGTACGTGGAGGAGCAGAAGCATTTATTTTTGATGTAGCACTTATTGTATGGAAATAGATCTGATTATTTTTGCATGATATCTGTTTCATTTCCTCTCTGTGCTATGCTACTTTCCTGTGTGAGAAAGCCTAACGTGTTCATGTCTGTGGTGGGATTGTCAGGTCTGGCGAGGGCCAAGTCTGTCCCAACTAAAACCTACTCCAACGAGGTGGTGACTCTTTGGTATCGGCCTCCTGACGTTCTGCTGGGATCCTCTGAGTACTCAACACAGATCGACATGTGGTACGTACATTAGCAATGCATTAAATAACTTTGAGGTGTTGAATGTGTCACTCGTATTTACAGTCCTACACCCAGAACTTTCTTCAAACTGCAACTCCAATCAGCTGTGCAGTGTTATAGCATCTTTGAAATTCAATATATCGGTTTTACTTCTGCTTTGAGTATCTCACAGCTTTCATCAGCTTGTTTTCACCACCAGCAGCTGCAGCAGCATTCAGCTGAAAAACTGAACATCCACTTTGTGCTTCCTGTTATACAGACACACAAAGTTAGCGTCAGTCTAACTGGTGAACACATGGGAACAATTTGCAAGTAAAGGGAGGCAGGTAGTTTGTTCACACAACACAGGACAAGGGGTGTAAATATTTGATTTAAATTCATGTACCCAACTAAGTGCTATGTAAACACAAATAAAAACACCCAATATACATTTTCTGAGCTGCGAGAAAATACTTGTTATTCTGTTTTACTGGTTGTTTGTGGGGGAATCTATGTTTGTTTTGAATGTTTTATACACACACTAGACACCACACTAGACAACACACTAGCTCACCAGGCTGAGCAGGCACCTCCTGCAGCAGCTGCAGGGTCAGTTCCGTCCTGGCCCATTGCTGTATGTCTTCCCCTCTCTTTGTTCCTTTCACACTATGTCCTATCAATAAAGGCTTAAACACTCAAAATATTTTAAAACGTAATGTTACATAGTAAATAATATGAATAAATATTCTGACTGTGTGTGTCTGCAGGGGCGTTGGTTGTATATTTTATGAGATGGCTGCAGGTCGGCCGCTGTTCCCCGGCTCCACAGTGGAGGACGAGCTCCACCTCATCTTCAGGTTACTGGGTAAGCAACTTCTGCCGGATCACGTCACCATGGCAACACAAATGTGCCACTACACGTTTTTTCACAAACTGTGTGTTTGGTTTGACTCTGTGACATCAGGAGCGCCCACAGAGGAGAAATGGCCGGGAATCTCCTCCATCGAAGAGTTCAAATCCTACAACTTCCCCAAATATAAACCACAGCCGTTAATCAACCACGCTCCCAGGTACTGTGTGTGTGTGTGTGTGTGTGTGTGGGTGTGGGTGTGGGTGTGTGTGAGAGACTGTGGCCAGGTGTGGTGTGTTCTTATGAGTACAAACCCACACCTCTATATTGTGTGTGTCTGTGTGCCACTGGCAGGAAATCCTGTTGAACATTTCACTGAATGCTGTCCACTTCCTTCCTCCCATGAGCCCCCACATTCCCATCAGCCTCTGCTGCATGCAGACAATAAATTGTTGCTCTTCCCTCTTTCTCCTCTAGGCTGGACAGCGAAGGCATCGAGCTGCTGCTGTCTTTCCTCAGAGTGAGTGTTTGTATTTTACTTCCTTTATATTACCCAGAATGCACATCACTCTTAAGAGATTTATCAAGCAATTATTTTTATACCCTCATCTTGTATAACTAAGATAAATGAAATAAATGACTACTTATGGTCATTTTCCCTTCATGAATATCATTACTATTGGTAGTACTGTATATTAAGTCTTATAAATATTGTAGTGGTTGTATTATGTGGTTTCATTGACAAACATAAAATAATCAGGAGATTATGTTTGTTATTTCTTTTAACTCAAAGTTACCGCTTGTTATTAAATCAATTTTGAAAAAAATCACAAAATAAATTAAATAATGGCTTGAATAATTTGAATAATAAGTTTCCCACAATATAGTCGTTTATTTTAAATTATAATAGTAAATCACCAGACACCATTTTGTCTGATTAAAAAAAAAGAAGTAGTTATCGTTTATCAGCTGGTAAACATATATTTTTTCTTTTATGGTAGAACTGACAGACACAGGAAGCAGCGAATTATTACCTTCAGTACTAGTTGTAGACAGCAGGAGGCGCCTTACTATCAGAGCAGTTCAACCACTGGAGACACAACAACCCACCACAGCATTATTTAGATTAGGTTGATGTTTCCTGTTTCTCTCCACACAGTACGAATCCAAGAAGAGGATTTCAGCAGAGGAAGCAATGAAACATTCCCACTTCAGGCAGCTCGGGATGAGAGTCCACACTCTGCCTGAGAGTAAGATAATAAAGCTGCTGGCTTGTTTTTTCTGGCTCTTTCTAACTGTGTGTTTTTTCCCTGCTCTCAGACAGTTTGCTGTCGATTGAAACTTTCCTCTGTGTTTCAGGTGTATCAATATTCACATTAAAAGAAGTACAGCTGCAGAAAGACCCCGGCTACAGGAACTCCTCGTATCCAGAGTCAGGTGGGAACTCATCTACAAGCACTTAATTATATCATTAGATAAAGATACTTCTCGATTCCAATACATGGGCTTCGCGTATCTGCCGAGTACCGATCCAACACCAGTACTGTACTTTATCAGCTGTCATTTACTAACGCTGGACAGAGGTTGCCATCATTGTGTGGCTCTAATGTTGTAATTGGCAACACTCCAAACTGAAGTCTCGAATACGGTACACGTGAAATGCCAAATCTCTGACATTGTAGCATCTCTGGCTAATGCTACACTACTGTCTTTTGTGGAAACCCAGACGCCACTTAATATTTGATGCTTGTCATTTTTATGTGTCACGGTACAAGTGCACTTTTCCTTTTTGGCTTCTCCAGGCCTCTGTACTGTGACACCTCAAACAGAGGTGTAGTATCAGGTTTAAACTGGCACTGACTTGTCCTTAAGACGTCTCACTTGAGCGCAGAAAGTGAATTCCAGTCAACATCCGTTTCCGCGTACTTTCATTGTGGTTGTGTTTCCGTGTTGTGGCTCTTGCATTTGTTTCGTGGCTTTTGCTTTTGCTCTCATATATTCTGTTTATACACTTGATGTGACCCCCCCCCAAAAAAAAAAATCAATCAGCATCATTAATATAAGGCAAAGGCATTATGGGTATTGTATTCTTCTTTTCTTCCAGGTAACGGCAAGATCAACAGGAGGCAGAGCATGCTCTTCTAATGTTCAGTGACGGTCGACTGCCCACCCTCATCATCACTTCCCAACAAAATCTCGCATGAGCCCACCTCCTTTCAGAGTGACACCCCTCCAACTACCTGCACACACACACACACACACATACACACACACACACCCCTCTGAGCGAGTGACTCTGGGTTGAACCTGTTTGGAAACTGTGTTTATTTATTGGGGGGAACGGGGTGAGGTTGAATTTATTTGCTGCTAAACAACTACTGTCTGTATTTAACACACTGTTTGTGTGCCTGTGCATGTGTGTGGGTGTGTGTGTGTGTGTGTGTGTGCGTACATGATGTGAACTCGAGATGCCGTGCACAGTTCAGCAGTCAGTAAGGTTACTATTTCTTTGTCTTCTGACTGCGATTCTCTGGCTTCGTTTGAGTTAAAATTCCACGGATGTTGATGTTGACGCTGTGATCCCAAGTTGTTGTTCTTGTTGTCGTGCTCGGAGACCGAACGCTTCAGTTTCTCCAGATTTTTTTGTTTTTATAAATATGTATATCTATATAAATATATATATTTGGAGTTTATGTTTTGTTTTCCTTCGAGCTTCCTTGACTAAACTCTACAGCATTTCCAGGTTTAGAAAGCCGGGGACAGCAAAATGGTCTTGGTTGGTAAAAATGATTCCTCTGGATTCCTTTTCATCAGTCGTCCATAACATTTCAGACGGACTCTTCTTTGAGAGGTTACACTGAGGGTCAAAAAGCAGGTCTGTGATCGGACTGTGTTAACTGAGGGTTAAGAAGCACACAGAGCCCAGTGAAGCTGGGAGAACCCTAAACCAACTTATGGTTCTTTTCAGCCAATCTGGCTCAGCAACAGGACCGAACCTGAAGAACAGGGGAAGGCAAACAGTTGGGAAGATGAGCAGAAAGCACAGATTATAGAGGAGGAATACTGGAGCCGAACAGGAAGCCACGTGATATCCCACAGGAAGCCAACAAGCCTTTTCGTAAGACCCCTCACAAAACTGCCAGGACTTCTGCGTTTTTTTTCCCGTTTTTTTTCTTTTAATGCAAGCTACACCTTCCCGCTCTGTGTGCATTTGCAGATCTCACCGCAGACTCTTTGTTTTTAACTTGCACTTCAGTGTGGTGTTATGGAATCAGGGACCCGGGCCTCGACACGGCCGAGTTTACCCAACAGTATTAAGATGTGTACTCTGTATCTGTGAACTTTGACCTCTCCTTGTGAAACAACAGTGTCATTGTGGCATGTTTTGGGAGGGGGCGGGGTTGGCGGGGTGGGATAGCGGGGACCAGTATAGTGTGTTTTAAAGCAAAATGGTTGTTTTCCACTTCGGACCACTGCTCTCTCCAGCTTTTCTACACAAGACGAAAAAAGAAAAGATTTCAAATTGAAATGTCCGATTTAACTGCCCGCTGTGTTGTTTGCAACTGACAGTGATGCTACAGATGCAGCATGTTGATAGGTCTCACTTTTGACAGCTTTTTGCTGTTACTGCAGCTTATTGTCTGTCGAGATTTGAATGCGCAACAACACTAGAGTTCTCTGATCGGTGGAACAAATTCGAAGCGTGCAGGGAGCACCAGTAGTGCTCGATCAGTAACAGATTAATGTAATAAACATTAACGTAAACACAGTTTGCAGCTGATGGTGTAATAATCCTGTAAACACACTGTACTGCCTGTCATTCCTGTAGTTTGTCCTTTCAACTTGTTTAAATGTTTAATGATTTGATCAATTAAAGCTCAGCACAAACGGTTACAGCCGATAGAGATGAAGATATCGTACATGGTTACAGTTATTGTGTTCATACTAAAACACGCTGTATTACATTGACTCACAGACCTATGTTTTTCCCTTATATTACATGATAATGCATTTTTGGATGCTTCACTTAAAGACCTGTTATCAAGGATAAGGATGAAAGTTGATTCCAATATTAGCTGCAAACTGTGTTTCTGCTAATGGAGCATTTTGTATATGAACAGCAGTAACATGCATGAAAGGAGATTTCTACAATGGCAAATTATTTATCATTGTAAAACTGTACTTTTTTCAAACGTATGAATGACCTGACTTCATGTGAACATGTCTGAATGCGTGTGTGTGTGTGTGTACGTGTGCCTGATGCATGGAAGGCCTGCTGTGTTGTGAATACGACCTCTCTGAAACACTGAGCTGCCGGTGAACAGTTGGTGTGTGACTTTTTACTGGAACTATTTATTTCTCATAACCATCGAAAGTAAATTTAATCTGTTTCATAAACAGTCTGTGCAGCCGTCATTTCTGTGAGTGGTGTATATGAGAGTGTTTTACCAACTACAGCTGAGGTAGATTCTCTGACAAATCATGAGAATACATTTCTATTCATCTCTTTATAAAAATAACCAGGACTCATTTTACAAAGAAAGACACTTCTGTGCAGTTTTGACCTGGAATGTCTGTTACAACCGTGTTTTAAAGCTTAATACATTTACATAAATCTTACAATATCCAAGGCACAGCTGGTACGAGGCGTCAAAAACAAACAGTGCATTAAAAACAAAAGCATAAAACTGCAGCTGAAGTTAAGTTCACAGCATCGAGTCAACTTGTCAAAGCAATACAGAAGACCGCTCCGGCCAGCAGCTGCTCTGCTAGGAGTCGGTGAAGGTGTCATCTCATGTGTCCACATGTCCAATTATATACTGTTAAATAACTATAGATATGGTCTATTGAAACAGAGACTTAGCACAGGGAAAAAACTTGACTTGCACCACTAGCAAGGTGTCTTTACAGGCCTATGAAGCCTGTAGCGTCGAATCATCCAGTTATGGTCCCAGTTTGGGATTTCAATTTTTCAGACTTGGGGAAATAATTTTCTTTACAAAGCTACAGCTGGTTAGTCAGGCCTTACATAAAGACTTGAAGCAGGGGAGAACCTCCCAACATCTGCTTACCTGCATATCTAAATCTCACTCGTTAATGTGTTATTGCCTGTTTGTTTAATCCCTAAAAGTGTATAATTGACAAGTTGTGGTTTGAGTGTGTATATGAGCTGAACTTCTTGGCATCACCTTGAATTTGACAAAATAACACTCAGTCCTCAGTAGAAATCTGTTTTCCTGACGGATGTTTGGTTATTAACTCTTAGATTTGGATTCATTTCCTACAGAGTCTTCAGCGATCAGGCTCCTCCCCTGTTGAACCAGCTCCCACTCTGAGTTCGGAAGCCATCCCTGCATTTAAGGTTACACTTAAAATGTTCCGTTTTGATAAAGCTTATTGTTAGTTCTGGATCAGGTGAGCGCTGAACCATCCTTTAGTTGTGCTACTGTAAGTCTGGACTGCTGGGGGAACTCCCATCATGCACTGCGCACTAATTAAAAAACGATCATTATAATAAGTCTAGTTTAGATTAACAGGTGCTGCTATCAATAATAACATCATTACATCTGTGAATATCACTCTTATCATTTTCATTATATTAGCCGGTCACCCTAACCGGTTGGGTTCTCGAGTTTTCTTTTCTCTCTACAGTTTTCAGTGTTTGCTCGTTGTGTGAACTGTTGTTTTTCTCTATAACGTTGTCAGGTGTCAACCTTATGTAAAGTGCCTTGAGATAATATCTGTTGTGATCTGGTGTTAAACACATACAAATGAATTGAACTGAATTTTCTTGTGCAAAGTGAACGTCTATAAAGAAGCTGCACTCCGGTCTCGTAGGTTCACGACATTCTGTAGTATACTTAGAAAGTCTGTCTCTGTGAGGTGTGATCGTTTCTGATAAGGATTTCTCAAGATCTCCATTGTTTGAGTCAGAGGTGTGGATGCTGACGTTAGCAGGGCAAGTGTTCGAAGATAATAACAATCAGAAAATGCAAACAGTCAACAGGCTCTTAAACTTGAACCAAGTTGAATGCGATGAGATTTGCAACCTCCAGTAAAAAAAAAAAATTGCATTGAAATCAATTCTGAGGATTTTACATCCTGAAAAGAGGAAAACATAAAACATTAATGAAATGAACATGAGCAGTTTAACTGTGTTAAACACACAAAGAAATGTAAAATTGCAAAATACTCCTCTCAGAGAGCAAAGCTTCAGAGTGAAGCTCCCGAGTCTTCACGTGTAATCAGACTCGGGGGAAGCTGGTCTCCAGTAATGATGGTCCTCATCAGAGATTAAAGCTGACTGGCTTATTCCTGATCTGTGCTGAACTGGACCGGCTCAGTCTGGTTCGGCCCAGCTCTCTCTAATGGGGCTCGGGTTGACATCAGGACTTGTGGGAGCCTGGGGACAACAGCAGGGGAGTCGGAGCGTCCACACTGGGCAAAGGCATTGGGATGTGTCCGTTTAACAGTGTGGGAAACTGCCGGGAGACAAGTTACAGTTAAATGTTGAAATGACCAAAAATAAAAAACAAGTGAAGCCCAAAAACACAGTAACCTCTTTAAAAAAAAATCAGCTTTTTTATTGACTCTTAAGTGAAGAAACTAAAAACTAATTTTCTTAGAAACACTTTTATCTTAATATTATTTATCTAAAGGGTTATTCTAGGGTATTTTAGTAGTCGCACTACCAAAACTAGAAAGCAGAAGTACCATCACGTTACTGATTACACAACTGTTTCCCTTTAACACCTCTCATTTGTTAGTGGGGGTAGTGTGATGTCATCCCAAAATGTGTAATCTTTACGCGTAATGAATGTCGCTTTGCTTTCGCGGATGTGGGTGGGAGGGGCTCCTGACCAAAAACCCTCTCCCTCTCCCCACCGAGCCAACAGGAAGTTGCCCCCTCTTCTTGTCCACACCAGAACGGAAACATCTGTGGCTTATTTTGAAACCCTGGCACACGGTGAATAACGCACACACACACACACACACACACACACACACTGTGAAATGTAAGTGTATAGTGTGAGGTGACCAGACAGACCCTGTAGTAATGAGAAAGGGATTAGATGTAAAGAGCGTTTATGAGGAGACACAGACTTTTTAACATAGAAAACAGGCTGATGGAGAAATTAAGGCTCTTTGTGTTTTGTCTAAATGAATCGGACTGTCAGAACTTTACACAAGTCGTTTTCAGACATGAACTCAGAGGGATGTCCGCCGAATTGGGTCTGGACTTTCTCCAGACTTTGCCTTTCACACGTGGACAACGCAGCAGGAGATTCTCCACTCAAACGCTTTCGCAACAACACAGAAATCTCCGAAATCTCCAGAGGGTTCCAGTAAGGGGACGGTGTAGCAGGCCTGTAAACAGCTCATCGGCATAAGCCCTTATCGCCGAAAGCAGCCTTGAAATCTTCGTTAGTGTTTTCTATGTGTACGTTTCATCAGATATTTGTATTATTTTTAATAGATTTTTTTTTCATTCATAAAGGCTGAAACTAGTCTGTTTCAAGTGTAACCAGCTGGTTCTGTCTTCATCTGGTTGGAATTAGTCAGACGCTCTGATGTAGGTTTGGGTACAGGCTGGCAAAGGTCAGTCAGGATGAGACAAACTGGATAAAGAATCAGATGTAAAGGAGTAAAGGAGTTGGGACAAGCAAGAATGTACGAGTCTTACCTGGAAGAGGGGGGCGTGGCTCTGAAGTTGTGCAGGGCTGAGTGGTCCCACCGGGCTCAGACTGGACCAGAAATGGATATTGGAGAGCAGAGGACTGGGTGTGAGCAGCAGACCAGACGGAGTCTGCACAGACAAAACCCCACATTAAATATCAGAGGATAAATTCACCAAGATTCAGCGACTGTTTATTCTGGCAATAATTCCAGAGAGCTGTACTTCTGCGGTGAAGTTTTCATGTCAGTCTCACCCTGAGCTCAGAGCCACGTCTGCCCTCTAGTGAACTCACGTCCACCAGACAGACTGACTGACTTGGCAGACTGACTCCATGTAGGTCAGGAAGCTCCATTCATACAGAATTCATGACTTCTATTTTCTTCTGTCTCTTTATGTTTAACGAAGAGCACTTTGGTTTTCTCTCTGGTTCTGCAGGAGAACGCACGTCTCTGTTCCACAACAACAACCAGCAATTAAACTAGAAATTCATTTGCACGTCACTTGAATGTCTGTATAGCATATATATTATTCCATACATATGCCTCTTATTCTGAAATCCTCCTATGTAATATGATGTATGTAATTATTGGGTTAGGGTTATATAGGGATATATATATATTACATACATCCTTGTATAGTTATACTATCGTATGCTACAGTGAATTTATACTATATTTATATACAGCGCATAGCATTTTTATACTCAAATTCATACTGTAAACCTATATATACTGAAAGTCTATATATGCATATATAGACTTTCATATTTCAATATCTCATACAAAATAAGCTAATACAGAATACAATCATCCCATGCCAATTCAATTACATTTCCCTACAAACAATATTTCAGTGCGTATTCTGTGCAGTTTTATTTTAGTGCCTCCTTTATTTTATTTTCCTGTCAGCTGTTTAATACTGGCTGGCTAATAAAGACATAAAAAGTATGAAAAGCTAAAACTCTTCCTGTGAAAATAATAACAGCTCTGCACTTGGCAAAACCAGCTGACAACTCGACTAATGAGATATCGACTTGAACAGCAGCCAGCATAAACTGGTTTGAGGTTCTTTAATCGTTTCATTTGGGACATAGTCCACAGTGAAAAGTGAGGAAACATCTTGACACGGTTCCTGTATTCTGGAAAGCAGGTTGCGAGGACAGACAGGGGCTGCTCACATGACCACACTACAACATGTAATGACTAATGGTAGTTGAGCCATCAGCTATATTTTCCATCAGTGATGTACACATAGCAGTGTATGATTACTGGGTCTGGATGAAAGCGTCAGCTGAATGCCTGAGTGTAGTCAGACTGTCCTGGTTTGGTCAGCGTGTTGTTGCCAGTAAATCCGGAGCTTCAGGAACATATGGCTTCACTTATGAACCGCCTCCCTCCCTCTCTCCCTTCCTCCCTCGCCTCCTCCTTTCTTTCCGCTCACCTCTGTCTATCTCCTCCCTGTCTGACTTTCTTCACCCGAAGATTTTCCCTCCTCCTTCTCCACTCCTCCCTCACCCACAACCCAGTGCCTTCCCAGTGAGCAGTGTGTGTGTGCAGTGATGCTAATGCACGTGTGTGTCTCCCTGTACCTGTGCGGTGAGGAAGGCTGGGGTCAGGGACCCTGAAGGCAGAGCTGGGCTGTTGAGGGCGATGGAGACAAGGTCACTTCCTGTCAGCAGGAGGGAAGGGGCGGAGATTTCTAAGCCTTTGGGTTTCCTGCTCTTCGAAGGCCCACCATTGGCCAAGCCCCTCCTCTCTGGCGTGGTGGTGCTCTGCGACCTCTCCCTCTCTCTCTGACCTGACGACAGGTTTAAGGGTTGAGCGATCTGCTCCGACTCATCAGTATCTGTGCGGTGGCTACGCCCCCTCCAATGCGTGTGGTTTGGGCTTTGTTGTGGAGAGGTGGAGCAGGAGGGAGACGGCCTGGAGGAGTGTGAGGTGTCACTCGAGGATGGGGGTGGGGTGGAGGGGAGGGATGAGTGACCACGGTTAGTTATGAACCGGATGACAGAAGAGCTGTCGTCGTGGCGACCAGATCGGGGCTCCATCTTGATCGGTCGGTGTGGTTCCAGGGAGTGTTGCAGGGAGCTGACAGTGAAGGAGGAGTACAGGCCAGAGTGGAGGTATTCGTTTCTGCCACTCCCGTCCTCGTCTTCAGCGTCAGGCTCTGATGTCGCACTGTCCTCGCTGCAACGACCAGACTCCACCATCGCAGGGTCCATCTTCAGAATCTCAGGGAACGACACAAATTTGTAGACAAACTTCTGGCCGATCACTTTCTTGATGATGTTCTGCAGAAGACATATTGTCTGTGAATAAGAGTTTTCCTACAAAAATATTCATTAACACTTTCTGATGTGTTAACGTCATTTCCTTGACTTAGAATTTCATCAAATCTGTTTTATACTTTGGATGTCGTCGCTAGGTGCACGTGTTGCATACCTTGTCGTAGTAGTAGCGCAGGGCTCTGCTCAGCTTGTCATAGTTCATGTTGGTCTTGTTCTTGCGCAGCCCCCACAGCTTGGCCACTTCTTCTGACTTGAGCAGCTTGAACTCGCCGTCGTTGGACGTCCAGCGGATGAGGTGTTTGTGGCTCTGGTCGAGCAGAAGCTGCAGCAGGAACTGCCAGAGTGTGATGGAGCTCTCCATGACGGGATGACACCAGGGACGCAAGCAATCTGCAGAGGTGAAAGGAGATTAAGCCTTAATGAAATCACATCGACCAACACATATTGCAATGTACAGTCAAGAAGTATAATGGCCTCTACTCTTGTAGAGCTGTTAGATTGGGAGGGAAATCTATGGGATGTCGAATCAGGAGAGTGGCAATTTTTTCTCTTGACTTGACAAAATCTTTGAATATAAGGAAACAGGAATCACTGTGGCTGATGGAACTACAGTGTGTACATTACAAGTGTGATGTGAGTGTCCTAACATCACACTTGTAATGTACACACTGTAGTTCTTTGTTATAAACATCTTTAATATTTACTGTTAACAGTCAAATTCAGTTTTATACATGAAGCCAGTCTGTAGGAAAAGGTTCTGGATTAAAAAGGTGTACATGCACTTAAGGAGAAAGGGTTTTAAGATGTGGAAATGTTATCATTGGGTATAATTTAAAGGTAAATAAATAATTTCACACATCCCCAGACTGATGGAGACGGAGATGTACTTCACACAAAGAAGGAGGGTAGGTGGGTGAAGAGGAGGAATGCCAACACAAATGTGTACCACGATCCTTCCTCTGAAGCAAACCCCAATGAAAACCACAAGCATAACATTGCTGACCATACCCAACGACACCACCCCCGACTCAGACGGGGAATTTCCTGTTCCCAAAAACCCTGAACCCACAAACACACAACAACACAAACATGTAAACAGTTTAAAGGCTCCACAGGACAAACCATGTTTACTGTTTGTGTCCCTGATTCACGCAGCATATATAACCTATATATCACAGGTTGAGTGCTGACACTGATGCTCATTCTCCTATTAATCTTAGAAAGAGAAATCTTTTAATAGAGTATTACTGAATCGAGAAATGAAAAAAATCCAGATGCTTTGACACATGACATGAGAGGCCACTGAGCCAGTGTTTTATTTGCTTTTATTCATCATATATAAATCTATTATGACTGCAAGGACATCATCCTTAGGTACACATCATCACACACAGACTCTCAATAAAGGAGTAGCGTAAATCCTCAACATATTTTCTCTACATAAACAAATAGCCCTCTCTTTACAATCGAGAGACGTATTATCCTTTAAAATAGACTTCAGCATCAGGCTGTTCAGATCAAATTACATTCTTTCATTGATTATTCATACACTTAACTTTTCCCCAAGACAACGATTTGAAAAGCATTTCTATCAATGTTGGTGCCGCCTCAAATGCTGCTACTGAAGAATAGTATAAATGTGGAGTTATCACTATTACTGTTTATAAACGTGATGCAATTGGGTTGTAATTTTATACACTCAATTGTGTTTTTGCTTCAACTCCACAAAAGATGTGAACAACCATTGTAGCCGACTGGGGGAAGATCCATGCATGTGTGTGTGAGTGTGTGTGTGTGTGCGTGTGTTACAGAGCGAAAGGAAGGATAGATGACCAGACATTGGATGGTTTTCAAATGTTTCCATGGTGATAAAGCAGGATGTGGTCAGTGACCTGCCAAGACAAGCATGGATCTAACCAACATGTTTACCTGGAAGCCAGACGGTACACGCCTGCCTGCCTGTCTGTCTGTCTGTCTGTCTGTCTGTCTGTCTGCCAGCCTGCCTGTCTACCTGTCTACCTGCCTCTCTGTCTCCCTTTCTCAGATTAATTCGTAATTAGCAGGAAATACAATACCACACACCACCAAAAGAAAACCATGACAGTTGCATCCAAAATCCCCATGGCAACCACATCTGCCACCACAGTGGAGAAACAGGGGACTTCACCTCCAGAGGTAATGGCTGCCCCACCTGCCTTCACAACATGGTTCAGTAATACTATCAAGCACTGAATCAATATAAAGACAGAGCATGCACTGGTCTTTGTTTCATTGTCTTTCTAACAGGAAACCAACCGGCAGTGAGGGGAGAGTCCATGTGGTGCAAACAATGATCCACCACCACAAACACACGTACAAGCAGCCATATCCCTTGCTTCCTTTTTCCTGTACGCAGGGTGTGTGTGTTAAGTGATGGAAGAACTGTGGTGCCTTCTGTCTGTCTAAACGAGAACTTCCTGTCATTCAGCTTCAGGGGTGTCTTTCCTGGAGAAAGGCCTTCCCTCTCGGGGAGGCAGGACTTCCGGTCACCGGGATTCACCAGGAACTCACACACACACACACACACACACACACACACACACACACTTATTTGTGTGTGCACCTATATCTATCTATTGTCAACACTTAGCGGATGCACAAGTTGTGCACCACCTCAACACCACATACACAGGTTCACAACAATACATGTTGATGCATATATGGCCAGATGTTTATCTGTGCTCACCCTCTGACGTTTCACTTCTCACAACTCTGGACCAGACAGAAACCAAACTGAAGACACTTTTGATTCAGTCTAACAGCTTAGAGTTTGAGTCTATGAACTCTCTGCCTCTCTCCACTCCCCCCTTACACAGTATGGACTCCCCCTCTCCAAATGTAAATCTATCAGATACCATCAGCCTTGTGTCTTGTGGACAGTTTTCAGTCCAACATAAACAAACCAAACAACATATGACTCAATTCTCCATCCATATTCTCTGGGCTGCTCATTTCTTATTTTTGGACGCGTGTGTCTGCGTGTGTGCGCGCGTGTGTTCGGAGGGGGTCCTGCTGGAACTCAAATGGTTCTTTGTTTTGCACCGGTGACTCATTTTCAAGATGTTGTCTGCTGCCAGCTTCAATCCGGAAGCGCATGGCAATTAGTCTGCAAGGTCCAGACAAACCAGAAACTCTACTACTGAATTTTAAAGGAGCCACGGCTGATTTTTCCACTGCAGCTTGTACACTAACCTCTTTTTCGTTTTTTTTTCAAGTATGACAGAAATTGGATCAACTTTGCGCATAATCCTGTGCCAAATTGAGGCGTCTGGAGACACGACTTAAACATATTTTACGCACAACTTTTACGCGCAGCTTTAACACTCATGTCATTTAATGTGGTTTTCGTGTTAACTGCGGATATACAGTGAATACAGAAACAGACAATACAAGTCTGTCTCTTCCTCTCCATTACGCACAGGCGCACATAACTCAACAAAGTTATAGATAGAAGGGATCATGCACCTACCCGGCGGTGGACGGCGGCTGTTCCTCTGTCCGTCTGCCCGTGAGAGACCTGTGTGTGTTTTTGTCTTAAAGCGGGGAGTGTGTGTTGTGTCGGGGCTCCATGCCGCTGCCGCTGCTGATGTCTGAAAGCGGATCCGGAGCTTTTCTCTCTCCCTCCTCAGAGCAGGAAGTCGGGACGCGCAGACGGAGAACCGGCGCACTTCCTCTGGCGCAGTATTCCCGTCTGTACACACGCACTTACGTACGCACACACACACACAAACACACACACACACATGCAGAGAGAGAGAATCTCAATTTCCGATAAACACACCCCCTCCGTTAAATCACTCTTGCGCGCGCACGGAATGAAGCCATGCGCAACACAAACTCTTTCAGACCTACACACACACACACACACCTTAACTCAGGCACTTAAACAGCTTAAAATACTTTACATGCACAGTAACTATCTCTCTCTCACACACGCACACGCACACACTCAAATATTGCAGTTCCGACTGCAGAGCCAACTGACGTCACCCTCTTCCTGTTCAACGGGAGGGGTTCCTGTTCATGCACACAGACAGACACACACACACCAACACACACATATTAAAATGTAGCCCTATTTTCTGAATCACTTTCTGAAGGGAGAATAAAAGATGTTATTTTTTTAGCCATCCTTTTCATTGGTCATCAAACCTAGAAAAGTACTTTATGGATACAGACCATGAACCCTGTGCATGATTTAGCTCATTCTTTGTGTATCCTATTTGTCTGTAATATTTTGTGCTTTGAACGTGTTTACCACATGTAGTGTCTGTGGTATTGAAAACTGACTGTAATGTAATGTAATGTACTGTGGATGAGTTTTATGTTTAGAACTGTTGATCCCTCATCACGTGACATAGGATGGAATTATTAGTAATTAGTTTCCCCTACTGCAACTCAATGGTATCTTAGGTAAGATTTTGGTGGATGTCTTTACGTCCAGTTTATAACAAAGACTTTATAAACATACATCTTCCAAGCCCAATCTTTTTGCTATAAATAAGAATGTGATTTTTTTGTTTTTATGTATAAAACTATATAAAGCCTTATTTGTATTGTTTATGTTGCATTTATTATTATTACATATATTTTTTTGTACCTTATATACAATATCGAGCACGGGTAAAGATATATAGGAAGTTGATTCAGTATAAGAGGAGTTTTTATGGGGGTGAGATCCTTTTCAGATATGTAGATTAAATCATTATGTGTTTTATTGTTTCCGTCATCACTGTTTGTAAATGATAATTTTTTTCACATCTGTCTGGATGAGTTTAATATTAAACTGAACCTCGTGAGTAAAGTCAATGTCGCCAGTGTGTGGTTGGTTTTACATTCGTGACTTATCCTTTTAAAAAATAAAAAGAAAGAATGAGCGAACAAGTCGGTGTCTCCCCCTCTTTATATACAGTCTATGGTTTCCCCCACAGACTGTATATAAAGAGTTTCCCCTCCCTCCAAATCTTGATGCCCGGTAAACGAGGCGGAGTGAGACGTCCCTCTCATGCGTAATCTCTGACGCACCACTAGGCCCCGCCCCCTTGTTTGAACCGCCAGCAGCGCCAAACCCCGGAGTCCGACGATGAGCGGAGACCTGAGCGCGGAGCCGCAGTGGCGGAGGGTCCACACGGTGACCGGGGTGGTACCGCGGTCCCGACACGGACACCGAGCCGCAGCCATAAGGGAGCTCATCATCGTGTTCGGCGGCGGAAACGAGGGGATATCCGAGGACCTCCATGTTTACAACACGGGTGAGCTAACGCTAGCCGGACGCTAACTAGCCCCGCTAGCAGCGATTGTTTTTAGCACGCGAGGGCGTGGAACGCGCCGCGCTAGCTCACGTGGCTGCGGGTTTGGTGTTTGCGCTTAGCCTCGACACTTCTAACATCACTTTGGTTGCAATGACGTGGGTTTGTTGTCGTTAACTAGTCGCTAACTTGAGCTGTAGGACCGTACTTTAGCTCGCCAGCTAGCACAAGTGAATTGTCGGGAAAGCAGAGTCAGGTGTTGAACAGTGTAGCCAAACAGCCAGATGCTAATCATGCAGGTATCAGGTGTTGGCACGGTTAGTTATTCATGGTTTTACTTTGGTGTTAATGTTGTTTGTAGCATGCGAAGGAGTGGAACACGCCACGCTAGCTCACGAGGCTGCGTGTTTGGTGTTTGTTTACAGCCTCGACGGTGTAACATCACTTTGGTTACAGTGACGTGGGTTTGTTGTCGTTAACTAGTCACTAACCACTGCGGTCAAGTGAGCAGACGTTCGTCACTTCCTGATTTCAAATGCGCCCGTATTACAGAATGTATGGCAAATGCAGGTAGTCCATGATACACGTGGCTGCGGGTTTGGTGTTTGTTTATAGCCTCGACAGTGTAACATTACTTTGGTTACAATGACGTGGGTTTGTTGTCGTTAACTAGTCACTAACCTGACCTGTAGGACAGGACTTCAGCTCACCAGCTAGCATTAGTTAATTGAATTGTTAATTGTGAAAGCAGAGTCAGGTGTTACAGTGTAGCCAAACAGTCAAATGCTAATCATGCAGGTATCAGGTGTTAGCACCGTTTTACTTTGGTATTAATGTTAATACACGTTGCATGCAGTGGGCACAATTTACAATAGACTGCAATGTAGTAATGTTGTGTGATGCTAAACACTCGACCCGGTAACGTAGCCGGTAGTCCTCACGAGACTGAATGGAAGTTCAGAGGTCACAGACGAAAAATGTGTTTGAATTTTTTTAAAGACTTTTGATTATCAAATTGAGTGTCTTATTGGGATTTTTAAATTTTAATATGCACAAATATATTTTTATTAACTTGACAACTTCAGAACAGACCAAGCTCTGCGCACCCCCTGCCCTACGGGGGGCGTGGACCCCAGGTTGGGAACCGCTGGACTACATCATGCGTGAATACATGTATACAAGGCATTACAGTTTATTGTTATTTATTAAAACACATTTTCATGGGGTGATGAGGAACTGTTTTGTAAATGTTATGTCTGTCTACAAGGCAGCTTTAATCTGGATGTCATGTTTAATGCAATGTCCATTCTTCCAGTCTCCAAGCAGTGGTTCCTGCCTGCTGTTAGAGGAGACATCCCACCAGGCTGTGCTGCCCACGGCTTTGTCTGCGAGGGCACTCGAATACTGGTGTTTGGTGGCATGGTGGAATTTGGCAAATACACCAACAGCCTCTATGAGCTTCAGGTAACTCCATCACTCTAATATGTGGTGATTCTGGAACTGGTGCCATCACGTAGAATGTTTAATAGAATCGTGTCTTTGCTTCTGTGTGTGTCAGGCTAGTCGCTGGTTGTGGAGGAAGCTGAAGCCCAGAGCCCCCAGGAGTGGCTTGCCTCCCTGTCCTCGGATTGGACACAGCTTCACTCTTGTGGGTAATAAGTGCTACCTGTTCGGAGGCCTGGCCAATGACAGTGAAGACCCTAATGGCAACGTACCAAGGTAAGCTGTAAAGGTGACTTGTTGAGCCCTGCTTTTAACATTCATTCTGAGAGATCTGATCACAAGTGGACAGCATTAAGTTCCTCTGTTCACACTGGCAGTCAGCAGACTTTTCACATATTGCCCGCGACAGATTTGCATTCACACAGTGACAAGAATGTGTCCCAATGTGGTCTGAGTTGTCAGATCTTAGGACCCATTTGTGATTGAATCAGTGCTAGAACCAGTTCTGAACTGGGTCATTGTTGAATGGAAGGCCTCCAGTAGCTTGCTTTTACTGCAGATGCAAAACTAAGTCAAATTGGGTCAGACACCTCACATATTTCTATCATCTTAGGTACATGGGTGACCTTTATGAGCTGGAGCTGCAGGCAGCATCAGGTGTACGAGGCTGGAGCATCCCAGAAACAAAAGGTGGTGGTCCTTCAGCACGGGAGTCTCACAGTGCAGTGGCTTACGTTGGCCTCAGCTCCCCGAAGCTCTACATCTTCGGAGGAATGCAAGGATGTCGGTTAGACGACCTCTGGCAGCTTGACCTTGGTAGGACGACATTTTTTGACAGATTATATTACGGCTCAGGTTTCAGAAAAGGGCAACTGAACATTTCTTACATAAACTGTGGTTGGCTTAATTTTATGTCAATGAGAAACAAATGGAATATTCCAATGACCTATCTCCATCCTTCTCTCTTCTGTAGACACAATGGTATGGTCAATGCCTGAAACAAAGGGTTCTATTCCACTTCCCAGAAGCCTTCACTCTGCCAGTGTAATCGGAAACAAGTAATTAACTCTTGGATTGGACTTATTGTTATTAATTTACCTTTTTAAGGCAGGTGTGTTTGTGCCACCTGATTGAACTAGCCATGGACAAACTTCAGGGTGTCCCTCTATCTGCAGGATGTATGTGTTTGGAGGCTGGATTCCTGTTCCAGAGTCGGACAAACACAACGCTTCAGAAACCAAATGGATCTGCACCAACTCTTTAAGTGTGCTCAACTTAGGTCAGTAATTTTCACCACAAATTTGACTGTAGTTTCATAATTCCATGGTTATGACTGATTAAGTTGATACTGAAACTTGCTGCTGTTTTCTTACCACAGACACGATGAACTGGCAGAACTTAGGCCCAGAGGAGCAGGACGAAATTGAGTCCCAGCTGCAGAGTCAGGGACCCCAGAGTGACGACACATATGCTTGTAGGCCCAGAGCCAGGGCCGGCCACTGCGCCGCCGCTGTCGGATCCAGGATTTACATTTGGAGTGGACGCGACGGATACCGTAAGAGCTGGAACTACCAGGTCTGCTGCAAGGATCTCTGGTACCTGGAGACGGGTGAGGACTTTTTTTAGGCTTGTGCTGCAAAAAAAATTGAAAAGAACCAACACCGCCACTCAATATGCTATTTTGTATCCTGTCCTCAGAACGACCAGCCGCCCCAGAGGCAGTGTTACTTGTCAAATCCACTGTCAGCATGCTCCATGTGGCATGGCGCCCCCTGGCGGCAGCAGACTGGTACATCCTTCAGATGCAGCCTGTGTGTCCTCCTAACACTGCAGCCAGCAGTTCACCTGACAAACCAGTGGAGCCCACACAAACAAGAGGACAAGAAGGGAAGAACAAAGATCATAAAGGTGAAAGAGGGGTTACACAATGAGGGAGTTTTTTCTCTCTACACCCGCCAAAGTACTTGCTCATTGTGGGACCTGTTGGGTTTCTCTATATTTTTTTAAGGTCTTGACCTTCAATGTAAAGTGCCTTGAGATTATGTATATTATGATTGCTATACAAATGAAATTGAATTGATTAGATTAATGTGTCCTTATACACTCAGCACGGGCCACAGTAAAGAAACATAGAACCATAAACAGATGTTTTTAGCACAAGTAGAACGAGAACGTCAGTGTGTAGAAAATACATCAAACTTTCTGTACTGACCATGATTTTCCTTCACTCTTTACTTTTAGGAGTCCAGTCTCTTCAGACTCAAACTGAAGGAACCACAAGCCGACAAGAGAAGGTTTCAACTCAGGTAGCTCCCTGTTCTGTCATCAGATATACTGATAGACCAGTATCTACCATCATGAACTGAAGCTGATTTCGTTGCATTCTCACTGATAGTGTTGAAAGCATTTTCATCAGACACTGCTGTTTTTCTCCTTTTTTATATTTGTTTGTTCATTTTACAATAATGACATTAAAAGAAATGTAGACATCAAGTTAAGTCTTGGTCATTCAACAGATGCTTTTATCAAAAAAAGCCACATACATGAACAGGAGTAGTTGCACAGGGGAATTTCCAGTTTGTTGCAGTTGCAGTTTTTAGTTAAGCAAAGTTTGCTGCTGTCTGAAGAAATACTGCGAGTTGGCACAATTGACTTTGACCTTTAGCAATGTTTCCTGTTTAGAACAAATAAATCTTGAGCTTTCATTTTCTCCTCAAATTTCAGGATGCTTCTGTGAAGCAGGAAACTGTGGTGAAATCATCCGGTGGCTCAGCACAGACACAAACACCCGGAGGGAGAAACTCAGACATTTCAGACACTAAGAGCTGCTGTGAGTCTTGTTGCCAGTCTTCCCTTTTGTGAAAATCACAGAAATAATAAATTCCATATTAATGAGATGATAAAAGCAATAGTAAATACATTTGAAAAGGCAGCGCGAATAAATGTATTGCCTCATTTATTACTCCTTCCTTATTTTGAGAAATGATGAATGTATTTACTCCAGATTCCTGGAAAAATGACAACCACACATTTCTATCTTAGAATTGAAATCTCACTTGATTTTCTTTTTCTTTCTCATTATCGGTGTTTATTGCACACGTTGACCTGCAAAAGGAAACACTAATGATTTAATTAATGTTGTTTTGCTGTGGCTACTATGAAAATACACTGTTCATTGTCTTTCATTGACCTGCTGCAGTTTCATTAGGAATCTAAGTCTTTTTATTCTCTTGCTCGGACACACACACATAAACTCCTGTAAACTCAAACTTTCACTGCCAGTTTTCTGCTTCTCTGCATCACCTAGGGTAACGCCATTTTGTCATTGGTGGCCAGAGGAAGAAGGAGCGCTTGTTTTGATTCTGCTGAAACCCTTATGTAGATGTAGCAGAATTGCTGTCATTTAGGGCTGAGGTCGCAAATGAGTCGCAAAATCATGATTTTATCCTAATTAATCCTGCAGCCCTAATTCCAGAGCAGCTGTTAAGTCTGAAATGACAGCTTTGAATGATTTTTCACTCTGCTGTTGTATTTGTAGCAGCTGCTGGACAGGAGACATCAGCAACAGAGGTCTCCAGCATAGCTCAGCCCCTGTCAGGTAATGATGATGCTCAAGTTTCAATATTTATGATACTGTAATAAGACTGAAGAAGAAACTTTTTAAAAGAAAGGCTCATTGTGTTTTTTTGTTTTTTTTGACAGACAAACCTGCAGATGCAGATCAGGTCAGGTCCATTTCCAAACAATACATTTTAGTTTGTTTACTTGGCTTGTTCTAAACTAAGAAATGTCCCTTCCCACATTCAACAGACTCCAGAGGAAGCGGCATGGTTTGACGTTGGTGTGTTTAAAACACTCTACTCTGAGGTCAACCACTACTTTCTACCTGCTGATAGTGACCAGGTGACTACAGCTGTCGGCAGCCGGCCTCCGAACATTAAAGAGGAGGAAACTCTAGATACTCTACTCTGTCCTGTGTTTTCTCATCAAGCTTTGGCAATTCCTCTCATCCTCTTTCCATCCTTTCCGCCCTCATCAGGCTTTCCCCCAGAAGAAGCAGCCGGGGCCTCAGGACTACCAGGGCAGAGAGAAGCAGGAGCTTACTCCAGGTCAGACCTACAGGTTCAGAGTTGCAGGCATCAACTGCTTCGGCCAGGGAGACTTTAGCCCAGTCAGCGAGTTCAAAACCTGTCAACCTGGTTTCCCTGGAGCGCCCTCTGCTGTCAAGATCACCAAGGTGACATACTGACACATGTACACAATTGTCTGGGGAACATGGGGAAAATCTTTATTTAATACCCTAATAAACTTTGGTCCTTTTTTTTCCTTTTCTGTGTAGGCCAATGATTTGGTCCATATCACGTGGGAGTCTCCATCCTCTCCGTCGGGCCGCATCCTGGAGTATTCCATGTATATGGCTGTAAGGAAAAGCCGCTCCACCTCCTCGGAGGGGCCGGGTCAGATGACTTTCATCAGGATCTACAGGGGCACCAAGACTTCCTGCTCCATCAACTCCACCCAGCTGGTCAATGCCCACATCGACTGCTCCGCCTCAAACCGCCCAGCTGTCGTCTTCCGCATCGCTGCCAAGAATGAGCAGGGCTATGGCCCGGCAACGCAGATCCGTTGGATCCAAGGTGGATCTCAATTTGTTGTAGTTTCTGCTCATTTCTTGTAAATTCCTTTTATTTTGTTGGTGTTTTATTCAATTTCCTCTGTCTTTCTTTTAAGATCCCATTAAATCGCGACCATCTGCATCCAAAGCAGACATCAGTGCTGAGGCTGAACAAGATGCTGCTGACAGGTAACCAGAGAAAATGCTCACCTTTTCTGTCCATTCTTACTCTGCAAATTAGACTTTTAATAATTTGTCGTTCATTCTTTATTTTCTTGCAGCTCCAGCTGAAAAAGTTAGATCCTGTGATGTTTGGAAAATACGGTACTCAGGAAGTTGATGATGGCACTCAGATGTATTTGATATGTCCAAGATAATTTTGTTAATTTATTTTTTTATGTATTTAAGTCTTCCACTGTAAATATATATACACATTCCCACAAAACCTTCACCTCTCGACTATTTTACCTAACAAATGTTTTGTTATGTAATGATTTGATATGATCAGAGTACAACTAGCACCAGTATTTTTTTGTATTGATTATTTAAACAGTGGAGGTGCCTCAGTGCTTGTTTCACCACACACTTAGACTTCATGGGTTTTGTTGTTTTACAATCAGATGTTTTGGTTCAAGATCTTTGTGAATGTGTTTGTCATTGTAATTGGTTGCATTGCTGCAAATGATCTGTAGACATACATTACATATCTGCATTTCATTTCTTGGTTCATGTTTATATTTTCCTTATTGTTGTCAGACCTTTTCCTCTGCTTGATGTGTCATTATCAATCTCTCAATATTATTATCAGATAATCCAATATTACTTCTTTAATTCTGATATTCAAACTAATGATAACAATTATACTTTCAAACAGAGCAGACTTCCTGGAAAAGGCTGACCTCTCATTTAATCCACAGGTTTTGGTCAAAAACATATTCTCTTCGATCATATCAGGACCAGGATTGCTACAGATCTTTTTCAGAATCAGAAATACTTTTATTGATTGGGTTTCACTCTAACACAAAAATAGATTTATACAGACCAAGACAATAACAACAAAATTAAATGTAGGAGAAAGTATAAGATAAATACTTTGTAAAAAGTACATGTCAATTATATTACAGTATATAAAAACAAGCCAAATGAGAACATTTAAAAATACAGTTTATACAACAGAAGATAACTCATTGTAAATTAAGGTGTAATGTGTAACGTGATGGAATAGGTGCAGGGGCATTGACTTAAAAAAAAAAAGAAAAAAAGACAGTGTTGCACTATTTTCTCCCTATTAATTTTTGTTGATGTGAAAAGAAGTCATGTTTTTGCTTTCATCCATACAGGAGCATTTATGTTTTTGTTTTTTTGTTAACACACTAAAAACTTCCAGATGATAATAACTAGGTGTAAATTGTAGTTAGTATTTGTAATGATTATAGAATCAATCTTCAGGAACGTTTGAATCAGCTGCCAGAGTTTTCACACAGAATATGTTTATTTTATATAGACTGTATTTGGTTTATCTCAGAATTTTCAGTGGATAAGTGTGAACGTTTAGAAAAACCCTGTGGACACATTTGATCATTGCACACTAAACTGTCTTAATTGTCCCAGTGAGAAAAGTCACCCCTATACAAGCTGCACTAAATGGTTTCCGATGCATTGTGTGTAATGTACAGCTGAATTTTGGGAATGAGTAAAATGAAACAGTAAAACAAAAATGGTTGTCATTCTGCTTTTTGAAATCAGATCGGATATCATTAATGGCAGTGAAGTGTGTGAGCGTGTGTGTGTTGATTACTTTGCTTTAATGCCATTCAGACACTGATACTTAACCTTTTATTGCTAAGTGGGTTGTAGATGACATTGTAATAATCATTAGGAAGATCAAGTATGTATTGATAGTGTAAATCAACATTGACACAGTGTGAAGGTCTGTGCTGCAGACACAGTAACCTAGTGGTTTTGGTGGCTTCTCAGGAAACTGATGGGCCTCCAGCTGATCACTAACCTGGTGAGATCTGCCACAAACTAGGAAATGATCACATTTGGGATCAATAAGTTAACTACACCAAAATGTTAATACAATAAACTAATGACATTTGTAGTTATTAGGTATTATTATCAAGATTATTAATAACAATAATAAGAATATCTAAATAAGGTCTTTTTTCCATGCAGGCAATGCACTTCGGGAAAAGACTCCCATAATCCCCTAGTTTGTAGTTCCCGATTAGCTAGTTAGCAGTGGCTATCATAACGGAAAGAAAGGAGTGTTCGCTTCAGCAGCAGGTAAACAACTTTCTGCAGAAAACTGTCCACACACGTAAAGTTAACAACAGCGTCATTCAGCCAAACATCACGGGCTCGTGTGTCGCTGCGAGGCACCGCAACACACACTTTGTTTCATAGCATTGGCCTAGTTAGCAAGCTACCCCAGCGGTGCTAACGTTCATTACGTGGCTTCCCTGGGTGTTGCTATAGCTAGCTAGCTTGACAAACCAAGTAAGTTGCTTTGCATTTCGCTTGAATTGAGATAGTTTGCGTTTACACGTACAAACCCGGTCTGAAGCGTGCTAACGACTGAGTGTGTGAAGTCTATGGTCACGACTTAGCAAAGGAAACCCGCAGGGTAGTGGGTGTCCCACAACGGGCGCAGCTAACAGGCTAGGTAGCATAACTTGTCGCGGGTCGTAGAGCGCGATATTTAAAATCGACCCGGAGCTTCTGACTGAATTCAGCCACTACTGCAAACGTTCACAGAAGCTTGATTATTAAATATGTTTCATGATGCACCGTGTTCATTGTGAGGAGAATTACTCACTCGTCTTTGCTAAGAGACGCCAACAAACAACAAAGCTGTGGTTGAGTCATTAACCACACATGAGCTGTTGTGTTTATGTCTTATTATTATTATATTGACAGCACGTTGAATATAAAGTGTGTTGAAGTTGTGCCGTAGTTGCAGACAGTGTGTACAGAGGCAGCAGTCTGGGAGCTGAGCTAACTAATCACTTGAGACTGATGAAGAGCTTTTCCTGAGGCTGAGTATTTAACAAGTATCTGGGGACTCCTCTCACAGCCTCCATGGTTACTGACAACACCACCAGGCTTCATTTGTCTTCACACACACACAGAGAACATAGAATCCTTCTCACTGTTAAAGTCCACTCATTCATTCCTTTATTCTGACACAGACACATCTATTGCTTCCCTGAACCTCCTCTGGTTTGTTCCCTTGCAGAGGTGAAATGACCTCATCCACCCTCGGCCATTCGGTGCCTCTCCTCCCAAACCTGGATTCCGGGATGGGGAAGTCTGCAGCCATGCTCGGGTTGTCTGCCGGGCTAGGGGGAGCAGAGTTGGAGCTGCAGAAAATGCTGATCGATGAGAGGATGAAGTGTGAAAACCACAGGACCAACTACCAGACCCTGAAGGCTGAACACAAAAGGTAGAGCTTTTTAAGGATTATTTATCTTTCTTTATTGGTATTTTCTCTATGGGTTTGAATTGTGAGTGAACACGAATCCTGCAGGTTCGATCAGATTTACACAATAACCCCATAAGTTGTTCTCAACTGAAAAATGTACAATAATTATATACATGTAATTATACAGTATGTATTTGATTTATTTAACCTTTATTTAAAATTTAGTTTATTTATAATTTTTTCTCTCTTTTTCTTAGTTTCTATTCTTTCATTGACTCTGTGTTAATTTTATATGACAAATAACTTTGAAACCTGGTGTCTGTTAGCTGATTGCGTGATCCATCTCAATGTGTCTTTTTTCTCGCAGTCTGCAGGATGAGTTCACGCAGTCGCAGGGTGAACTGAGGCGGCTGCTGAGCGACAGGCAGGCTCAGCAAGAGAAAGTGCAGCTGTTGTTGGCTGAGCTGCGAGGAGAGATGCTGGATAAAACCAGGGAGCTGGAGGAGCTTCGAATGCAGGTACACTTTGATCAAGAGGAGAGCAAATCTCATGTTGTGGAACTTAAGTAACCACAAACATTTATAGATTCACACTTGTTTGGTCAAACGTTTGACTACATCTACGAAAGATGATTTTTTTTAATGTTTGGATAGGTTATTTTTGGTTTGTCTCTGTGAATAAACCTCTAATGAATTTCTGGATGCAAATGCGTGTGTGTTGACCAGGTGATGACCCCTCAGCGGTTGGAGTTGCTCAGAGCTGAGGTGCAGAAGGAGATGGAGGCTCCGGTCCGAGAGAGATTCAACAAACTGGAAGAGGTTAGGTCTTATTTTTTAAATCAAAAAATGCTAATTGTCAGCTCTCTACTGTGTCTGGTTTTCTCTTCTCTGACATATTATAAAGCATTTTGATTAAATCATATTTAAACTTGGCAAACAGTTGTCTTGTCTCACAAAGATGCTCTAAATGAAAAGATGTGGTTCTGCTAATTGATTTTAGAGGGATTTCTTGTCCGAGGTGACTTCAGTTGCATATTTTGTCAATATGATTGACAGTTAGCCACCAAAGTCAGCACAGTGGAAAATACTAGAAAATGTTTGTATTGTTAATAATGTATTGTTATGAATGTATTATTATATTAATGATATAAAACATTTAATTGATGTAGTGCTTTATCAAAACACTTTCCATATCTTAAAATGCACGTCATTATCACATATTGAAATATGATTTACACATCACAAAACTACTATTGACTGTCAGGAAGAAATTTATTGTTAATAACGCATGAAAAAGCAGCTGAAAATGACCTCTGCTGGGAATTGTCTTCTCCTTCAGTACCTGCTCTAAATATGACATTAGCAGCTGTGACTATCGACTCCATAGTAACGGTCAAGAGATTAGCATTGATTGCCTTTTGAAAAGTCCTTTGAATGTCAGAGCTTTCAAAAGAACAGCGGCTCATTTCCATTTTTGTCTGCCTGATTGCTCCTACTCTTCTTCGACTAATTTGTGGCTAATGTATCGTTCTTGTGCCTCTTCACAGGAGACAGAGAAGTACAGGTCCGACTTCAACAAGCTGCGGTATGATTACACCTTCCTCAAGTCCCAGTGTGAGCACCAGAGAGAAGAACATGCTCGTATACTGGAGGAGAAGAGGATTCACTACGAGGCAGAGGTAGGTGGAGTTCTTATGATACACTGGTGTAAAATGGTCATAAATACTAATTTAGAACATGAGGTCTAATTATTCAACATCCCGTTGTCAGCTCTCTCGCCTGGAGAAGGACAGGGAAGACCTGGTGGCTCAGTACCAGGGTTCAGACCCACTGCGTGATGGGAAACGAGTTGAGGATCTGTTGAGGGCGAAAGCTCAGCTCCATCAGAGGCTGAAGGGGCTGGAGGCTGAGGTGGCCGAGCTTCGGGCCCAGAAGGAAAACTGTGGTCAGCAGGCTGAGAATGTTCAACGTATTCAGATCCGACAGCTCTCAGAGTCCCAGGCTACAATCAAGTCAATGGAGGTGAGTGGACAGCAGGCTGGTCACAGTCATGTTTGCCTGTTGCTGCACTTTAGATTGAAGTCGTGCTTTTGTTTGGTTTTCTGCAGTAACATTGACAGGGTTTCTGCAGGTTCTTAAATGTGATAAATTTAACAGTTGTAAAGGTACAGTGTGTAGAATTTTGTGACATCTAGTGTTGAAATTGCATGTTGCATCTGAATACCCCTCACCTCCCTCTCTCTCCTTCCAAACATGAAAAAGAACCTGTGGTAGCTTCAGTTGTCATAAAAACTCAAAAGGTGTTTAGTCTGTCCAGTTGGACCAAGGTTATTATAGTTTTGAAATTTTCATTAGTTTTTATTTTTATTTAGTTTTTCAGTTAGCTTTTTTTATTTCAGTTTAGTTTTAGTTAGTTCAACAAGTGATTTTGTAGTTTTAGTTTAGTTTTTATTTTGAGGAATCAACCAGTTTCAGTTTAGTTTTTATTTAGTTTTAGTCTTAGTTTTAGTTTTTCCAGGTATTAAGAGAAAGCTTCGACTTGTAGAAGATGAAAAAGGATGAAACAATGTGTGACACCAAGTATGGGTTATCAAGTCCTTTAATTTCATTCTTTAACCATCACCTGTAGGACAGGCAGTAATCGAGGGAGAAAACAAAACGACAACGAAAACGAAGCTGAATTTATCTGCAATTCAGTTTAGTTTTAGTTAGCTTTGCATTGTTCACTG